AAAATCTTTGACCACTGAGCCATTTTTTCAAGTTTGGGAACATAAAATAATCCGAGGGGGCGTTTGTTACTGTGAAACTTTGCTAAACACTCAATTGAAACATCTTCATGACATTGTTTTTGCTCGAGTGTGAGCAAACGCGGCACCCATCTTGCACAAAGCTTTCTCATGTCCAAATTTTCAGATAATATGCGATGTACCGCACTTTTTGAAATGCCTACTATGTCTGCTAGCTCGCGCACTTTCAGTCGACGATCATCCAGTACCGCTTTGTGGATTTTCTTCACCATTTCTGGAGTCGTCACCTCATTTGGTCGACCACTGCGATGCTCGTCTTGGCAGCTCGTACGGCCTCGTTTAAACTCTGCTACCCAATATTTTACTGTTGTAAACGAAGGAGCAGACTCATCCAGAGTAGAATCCAGTTCAGCTTTTATATTGGTTGTGCTAAGGCCTTTCAAATAAAAGTATTGTACCACATAACGATGACCAATTTTCTCCATTTTCACAAATTCACATAAACGTTCACTATTGATGGCTGCCAAACAAATATTAAACAACGTGGCGTCTTCAAACTTGAAACATATGCTTTATAAATTGTGTACTTTTTAATACAGTGATATTTTTCACACAACTACCGCCATCTCTAAGTCAGGTCGGGTACTTCAGGGACCACCCTCGTTTATGAAAGCAAGACTTTCTTAATATAATCTAAATAATATAATATACAAAAAGTAATATATAATATAATAAAATTATGTCATAAAAATTCGCAAAATTTTCTATTAAATAAATTATAAGTGACAATTATAGATTAGGACGATACGTGGTAAACTTTGAAAATACAAATATATCATTTTTGTCGTTATAAAGTGTAATATTATGTATATTTTTATGATGTTAATTCAAAGTCGCAAATTCTTTTTAGTCATTTTGGTAATTGTGTGACGATCTCAAGGATTTTTACCGATTATGCAAATAAGGATGCAGCTGATGAGTAGTTGCATCACTAGAATGAAGCTAATTGTATCGGCCAGAAGCATCGCTTGATGCAGCAGATAATGATGTCTCGTTACCAGCTTTGAAAAATCTTCTTTTGGATTCGAGCTTTTCATACCGAAGTTGGCAAACTCGTCTCTTAAAATTTCCACTTGTCCGCATACGTGCAACGTGATCGCGAGGTAAAAGGAGTCACCGCCTTCGTGAGTAAACGACAATTGTTTAAAAACATTGAAAAACATTCGGCACGCGCGACGAATTAATATATCACAGTTTAAACCGTATCAATGTGCCAAAGACTGATTCATTACCGAGATTACCACTGGAAATGATGACTAATACGATAGCCTGCATCACATAGATCACAATATGAAAAGTCGTCGAGATGGGCAAACTGCCTAAGGTACACGTCGAGGGAACCGGGTATTTCGTTTCATAATCTGCGGCGGAACCATTTATTTGGATAGCACTGTTGCTTACGAATAGAGGTAATGACATGTAGAACCCTGAACCGATATAAGACATACATGCGACACAGTAGCAAATCATTCTCCCCATGAAAGCATGCCGTCGCATGACAGCACGCTTTTCGTCGTTGTCAACCGCGTGATAATCCTCTATGGCGGAGTTGAAATTGCTAATTAGGTTATCGGCATATATCCGAAACCAAGTTATTTTCAATAATGCCAGAAGGCCGCACGTGAAAATCAAAAGCATGTCGATCTTCGCGTACGAGTTGATGCAGTTGTAGTAGATTTCGAAACAGAGGCTGACCAGTACCCAGACCTGCACAGACAAAAAAACAGACTATTTATTAAAAAGGCCGAATTATCTCTCTCTCTCTCTCTTTCTCTCTCTCTTTCTCTCTTTACTTTTTTATATATATAATTAAATATAATTTAATACATTTAAATATATAATTTAAACTTATAAATATTTAAACATAATTTAACATATTTAAATGCATCATTTATTTATTTTCCTTCCCATGTCTGCATCGTATCAAACAGGCAACTGGTGTTGCCCGAAGTTTTCGTTTTACTCGCGATCTATTTGTCTCACATAATGTATCGAAGAAGGAAACAGAAGGTAAACTTAAACTCGTGAAATATTTGCCGAGCGATAATTGGAAACGTACCATACTTCCGCTAGCCAGGCTATAACGTAGTAAATCGAACATATTATTTTCCTGTAGAGGCCAAAAGCCTAATGGCGCAGATATGAGCTTGAGGGGAGTCAAAGCGTACGTTACATCGTCATTCCATTCCATTGTCAAGTAAGAACACGGTACTGCTACGGTGCTCGCTAATGTTGGTGTGCATTCGCAATGTGGGTTGATCATAGACGATCTTCGCGCGCTCATATCTTATTCAAGTTATGCTATTTTAATACTTACCGTATGCGTTCCGTTATTTTCAGAACTACGCTTATTTATCGGAATTAGTGAAAATAATATTTTTATGAAAGCAAAAAGATAGGGTAACGCGTACGTGTTTAAAAGACTGTCGAGGGGAAATTTTGCTTTCATTTTGTATGTTGTTCTCGGACGCATCTGCCGTCAATAGTGCTGTAAAACATCTTCCATTTTTAGTTTTCTTTTTCTAGAGGATTTATACGAAAGATAGGTTGTTAGTGCATCAACTTCTTGGAGGTAACAGAGGTGAATATGAGATTTCTTGAGGTACAATTAAAATATTTTATTATCGTTCTAGAGCAAATTTTTGACGTGGCACGAATAACTCAGCATCTTGAGATTCTAATTGGCAGTTTTATTAAAATAGAATCATAACGGCTTCTTCTATAGATATCTACATAGCAGAGAGAATCTTTTTCATCATCAAATGTTAGTATTATTTTTATGGTTCTACCATTACGCGCAGCACAGACAGATATGACATCGATGTTTTCAGAATGCTCATATAAGTTGGCAAGTCCACCACAATGAAATTTCCAGCTTGCAACTTAATCGAAACCTGGCTCCACATCATAATAAATGCTACGTTTCTTGTCGTTTTTACGGGAAGCTCATACCAAGTACTTAGATAGACGGATTGTGCAACTTCTTCCATTTGAGATTTCAAATAATCGCCGACCATACTGTACATCGTCAATTGCATGAAAAAAGCGCTGAGTACGAAGCCACTTTTCGACATCATACGGAAGTCGCTAGTTTTCAAAGCTATGATAAATTGAAATCCTGTGAAAACATATATATTGCTAATATACATTTTCGTAGAGTTACCTATCTTTTCGTTAATGCATAAGTAATAAATTAATAATAGCATAAATAAATATGCACCTAGTATACATATGAGCAAGCTGCTGATGAAGAGTTGTATCAGTAAAACGAAACTAATCGTTTCAGCGAGTTTCCTGGACATCCTTATCAGATAATCGTGTCTTAGAATTAGCGTGTTGAAGCGGTCGCAGACTTTCTGGCTTTTAACATCAAAATTAATGAAATCGGCCTTCAAAATTTTTAATTGACCGCAAACATGCAACACAATTTGGAGGAACAAAGAGTCGCTACCTTAAAAAGTCATAATTAAAGATATCATAATTAAGAATCTACTACAAGGAGAAATAAAAATGTACAATATAAATATTATACTTATATAATATTTAATAAAATACTTCTAAAGGGCACAATATATTAGGTTTATAACTTGAAACCTGTCTCTTTTTTGCAAAAATGAAGCCTTTATTTAAGAAACAAATGAAAAAAAATATCAATCAAAATATTGGCCATTGTTAGATATGAATTTTTTCCATCTCTCTAGCAATAAGCGGATCCCATGGTGAAAGAACAACTCATTTTTAGAGGCTATTCAGTCAGAGACCCATTTTTCGACGCTTTCATAAGAGTTGAAGTGTTCTTCAGCAAGTGCGTGTGCCATCGACCGAAACAAGTGATAGTCGGAAAGGGCACAGTCTGGTGAATAAGCCATATAGGTAGCATTTCCCAGCGAAGTGCTTTCAATGTTTCTTTGACAGCCTTAGTGACGTGAGGTCGAGCGTTGTCATGAAGCAAGATCACTTATATTGTCTTGTCTCATATTCTGGTTGTTTTTCGCGCAATGCTCGGCTCAAACGGATTATTTGTTGTTGGTCCCCTGTGACTGTTTGGCCAGGATTCAGTATCTCATAATATACCACATCCTTCTAGTCCCGCCATACAAAGCACAGCCTTCTTCCCATGAATATTGCGTTTTAGCGTCGAGGTCGATGATTGGCCTGGGTGGCAAATGGTTTTTCGGCGTTTGGGGTTATCGAAATAAATCCTCTTTTTATCGCCAGTCACAATTCGATGCAAAAACCTCTTTCTTTTTTTGACTGGCAAGCAGCATTTTGGAGGTGGTTTTTCGCCTTTCAATGTCTTTCTTTCAGTTCATATGGCACCTATTTTCCTTTCTTATATACCTTTCCCATGGCTTTTAACTATTTGGTAATGATTACTCGAGTAACATTCGACGTTTCTGCAAGTTGATTTTGCGTTTGACTTGGATCTTCGTTCACCAATGCTTGTAGTTCTGTAACTGCTGTCTCTGTATCTTCGAATTTATTTTGCTGGCCTGGACGTTCTTTATCATTCGTGTGAAAATCATCAAGTTTGAATCGTCGAAACTATTTCTTGCAAGTTGTTTTCGATAGAGCAAGTTCCCTGTAAGCTTCAACAAGTATTCGATGAGATTCAGCAGCAGTTTTCTTCAAATTGAAAAAGAAAAATTAAGCTTTGCGCAAATGATGCTTATTTGGTTGAAATTCAGACATTTTCTTCGCAGTAAAAAAATTATGTTGTTATCACAAACACAAACTTTTACATAACAAAATATTATTGACAGATGTCAAAACTGAAAATGATGCCTTGTTCAGCAATTACAGTTGACAATTTTCAAAGCCACAGTGATTTATCGCTAGAGGGTGAATTTCAAGTTATAGATTTAATATACCAGATGTAGAAGTTTGAAACCGGAATTTTTTGTAAAAATTACACGTCTGTTGTTTGAAAATGATAAAAAATATTTTATTCAAAATAATGTCCATTGCTATTTATACATTTTCCCACCTCTCCGGCAGTTTATGAATGCCACGCCAAAAAAAACATTTCTTCTTTTGAAGCGAAACAGCTATCGAGCCATTTTCGTACATTTTCATACGAATTGAAGCGTTGTTCAGCGAGAGCGTGTCCCATTGATGCGAATAGTTGATAATTGGACGGAGCCAAGTCTGGAGAATAAGCTGCATGCGTTAATATTTCCCAACTGAACGCCTCGATCGTTTCCCTGACCCGTTTTGCTGTGTGTGATGGGGCATTATCATGGAGCAAAATGACTTTGTGTTGCCTTTTTCCATATTCCGGTCGTTTTTCACGCAATACGCGATTTAAATCGATCATTTGCTGTTGGTAGCGATCAGTGTTAACGGTTTCACCAGGTTTTAGCAGCTCATAATAGATTACACCCTTATAATCCCACCAAACACAGAGCATTGTCTTCTTTCCAAAGCGATTGCAGTGGATGTCGATGGTTCGCCTGGATTCACCCATGATTTCTGACGCTTAGGATTCTCAAAATATATCCATTTTTCATCACCTGTCATGATACGATGGACTTTCTTTTGTATCTGTCGAGCAGCATTTCACAAGGGGTTTTTCGATTTTCTTGCTGTCTTTCATTCAGTTCATGCGGAACCCATTTTCCCACTTTCTGAATCTTTCCCATGGCTTTCAAACGAATTGAGACAGCTTTCTGCGTCACATTCAATTCATCCGCGAGTTCTTCTAGAGTTTGAGTATCATCTTCATGCAATAAGGCTTGCAATTCGTTGTCTGCGAACTTTTTCGGTGGTTTCCCACGCTCTTCGTTTCTCACGTCAAAATCACCACTTTTGAACCACTCGAAACACTGTGTTTTACCAAGAGCATGTTCACGGTAAGCTTCGACAAGCATTCGATGCGATTCTGCAGCAGTTCTCTTCAAATGATAACAAAAAACCAATGCTGTCCGCAAATCGTAGTTCGTAGGCACAAAATTCGACATGTTTAAGGTTATAGAAAAATATACCGGTGTATGGGACTTGGGTTGTTGTGTGTTGAAAATCTTCGTCAGCTGTTAGAGGGAGATGATGGTACTGCAGAAGCGGTCTTACGGTTCCTAAACTGATGGCTAGCACCATCTATAGGGAAATTCCGGTTTCATACTTCTACACTTGGTATATATATATACAGGGTGCGCCAGCTAAATTGAGGCTAAAGTTACATTTTACTGTAAAAGTCGTTTATTAAATAATAAATGAAACTTACAAAGAATGGCTTGCATATTTTATTTATAGGACACTTTCTGTAAATTTTCACTCTATAACCGCCTCTTGCCTCGATCATTGCCTGAACTGAGAACGTACTCTTTGCATTTGATCTCAGTCTATGTCTGCGAATGCCTGTTGAAATGTGATCCGTAGAGATGCCCCATTAAGTTGTCTCGACTTATTACTGACTCTTTCAACTACGCTCCAAACGTAGTATTCCAATGGATTAAAGTCTGGACTATTTGGGAGCCAAAATGCTGGGGGGCAGCACAGCAACAAGCGGCAGCGAGCAACTCTCGTGATTTTGGCGTCTTCCGAAAGCATTTATCGCGTTTTAATGACGTAAGATGTGCATCTCAGATTTTCTTCAGCAATTCTTCGCATGATAGTATTGCTTACACCCAAGATTGAAGCTATTTTTCAGAGCAATATCCTAAGATCCTTTGAAATCAAATCCTGGGCTTTTTCCAATGTTTCAGTGGTCCTTGATATTCTTTCACGTGAAGGTTTTTTTCTTACCGAATCACAGGAACATTCTTCGGATTGGTTAGAACCCGAAAACTTCTAAGCCATCCGGTAAACATTCGATTTCGGGTAACCGAAGAACCTCATAATCTCAGGTGGCGTACGTCCAGCGCAAAGACTTTTGACAATCACAATTCTTCGGTTAAGCTCCGAACTTGCTTGTGTTGACTCAACTATTTTTACAACTTCACGACTGCTTTACAGGTGCATGTGCATTACTTTAACGCCATCTAGCGTTTACCTAGGAAGTAAAAGTTAGCGAGGAATTATAATTTTAATTAGTCCCAATTTAGCTGGCGCACCCTGTATATACATAAGTATATATACATATACGAGAATTGTTCGATAAGTATGGTAAAAAATTAAGAAAATCGACCTTTTTTGAAAATATCTCTTTATTTTTCAACGTTGTCTCCTTCGAATTCCATACATTTGGTCTAGTAGTGTTTCAGCTTTCTGAGTCCCTCGAAAAAGTAAGCAGTATCGAAGTCTTCAAAATACTCGTTCACGACGACAATGATTTCCTCATTCAAC